GCATATACACAGGCTGCACCTTTAGGGACTAAAACTTCCTCCACATTATCACCTTGCTCAGAGACGTCTGCACCCCTTTACATTCCAACTTTTTTTTGGAGTTTCATTACAATGCCAAGGACTTGTAAGAACTGTACACAGTTGTACTTCTGATCTGGACCAGTGGCTTTCTAAAGTTTGGCATCTTTATTGGTTCGATGTCCAGCGACAAACAGCTTAAATGCTTCTGTCTCTGTGTTATTTTCACACACTCACATAGGTTACTAATGGGCACTTATCATGCCCCCCCCCCTTTCCATCTCCCTGTAGTGAAGCAATCTTGCTCTCTAACACCATTATCACCTAATTTGACAAAGGAAGGTCAGGGATCATGATACCCTTTATGAGCCATGCACTAGAGGCCATTGGCTCAACAAGCTTCGTGGGATGGAACTATCCCTGCTAACGAGAACAGAACACACACACACCTATGGCTCCTCTGCAGTGCAAACTTTATAACTGGTGTGGTTGAGCAGGTTTCTTGTCCCCACTGACCATGTGAGGCCAGTGGGGACTACAGAAGATAAAAAAATACAAGCTGCAGTTTTCCTCTGATTTAACCCTTGCCCTGACATATAAGCTTCTCAATCACAGGCCTCAAAATGCAGACCCGATCACTGGTATCTAAATCGGATAAAACAGGGGTTGTAGATCTGCATGAACTTGAAGATTTAGTGGAGCACTCCTGCTGGTGAAACACTGGCATCGTCTGATTGAATTGATAAGGCCATTCTTTTCTGGCTACACTGGTCTTAACTACTGCTGATGCTGAACATGCTCCACCAATAATCTGTGTCACAGACAATCATTCACTTGCTGATGCACTTAGATCCACAGAAGCAGCCTCTGACAAAAGACTCTGCCTGGAGACAAGCTGCATCAAAGATCTGAACCATGCGTGGAGTGAGAGGACACGCACGCGCACCCATGTATGCAGGCACATACACACACACTTCAGAGGACAGTGCATACAACCATACTTGCATAACCCTGTCCCTCTCCTCTGTCTCCAGCTAAACCAGTCTCAGTCCAGTGTGTCATGTCTGTTGGAGGTGTTGTCAGGCTGGAATGAGACTGTAGGCTGTGGAGGAAGGGTGTCTCTCACCCACACATGGGGAAGGTGCATATTTACTTTCACACGTTCAGGTTCTCTACTAGAGGTGAGTATGAGGAATCTCTGCATCATCTCTTCTGGACAGCAACTTCAAATGTCGACCCTCAAATCAGCAGGTGCCACTCTCCCAGACCTGATTGGAAAGTCCCCAATGCTCCTGTTACCATTGGGACCAATTTAGACTTCACCCCCCACATGTGTTTCAGTTTGGCCCCTGGTACTTCTCGAATCCTGTCTTGGTGGAGTGGTTTCTGAAGGATTTTTCAAATCCAGGATATGAGCTCCTTCAGTATGGCATTAGCATGGACAGCACCACACAAGGATCCTCCAGTGACCCAGTCATAAGCGTTTACATGCACACATGTATCACACATGTGTGCATGTAAACACAGAATTAGAATGCACACACAATCTATGAAATGATCGAAATGACCCAAATAAAAACTATAAATTCGGATGAAACCGTGGTTAAAATGAGAAAGGCACTGATGTGCAAGTTCCTCACCACATCCAGGGCAACGCTGAACATGGTGAGACCTGTGCGAGCCAGAGGCTTCAGGTGAGGGTTCCCCAGCAGAGCCTCCATGACCTCTGCCAGTCTCTCGTTACATAACGAAACAATTTCCCTCCAAAGTGTCTCCAGCCGCTGGCCGTTCACATCCTGGTAAACACCTGCCAGAGTGGCCAGGGGCCCTGAGGCACAAAACAAAAACAGGATTTGATTTACACTTTCTCACACTTTAGGCATCCAGAGGGACTGAACATAAGAGCAAACAGCAAAACATTTATTTCTTTATATCACTAAGGGCTCACAGGGGTCGGAGTATCCTGGCAACACAAACTATTCTGTGATCATGTAGAAAAAAAACAAGAAAATGAATGACGTGAGTAACAGAGGAGATATTTTTCAAGCTTTGGATAATAAAGTAAAGAATGAGAGGATTAGTTTATGATTCAGAGTTTCTTTTAAAATTAGATTTCTGCCGATGAGGAAATGCAGGGTCTGGTTGTGCTGCCGTGACTCAAAAACCAGAGTATCGCTAAATATACTGCAGCTAAATTTACTCTGCATACACATCCCCAGTGTGTCACCGGAGCTTTTTTAATTGTAACCTGTCTGTGCAGGGAATAAAAGTTAAAGAACCAAATCATGTTTAACTGCACAATATATGGGCCCTCTTAAAGGGACAGTGCATAGAATTTTGTATAATCTAGTGTTGAAATTGCATGTTGCAGTTGAACACCCCTCACCTCCCCCTCCCCTTCCAAACTTGAAAACGAACCTGTGGAAGCCTTCAGTTGTCATAAAAACTCAAAATGTGTTTAGTTTGTCCAGTCTGGACTCTAGTAAAAAAAAAAACCGTGGTGGTCTCCATACAGAAGACTCCCTCGATGTAAAATGTAAAGTATTTAAATATAAAGGGCCTTTTCTGGAGTAAAGAAAACTACAATTCATACAATTTAGATGAAAAGAACTAGTGAAAACATCATGAGGAATATTCTACATTAAATTTCTGCCAATAGTTCCCTAAATCTTACACACTGGACCTTTAAGCTGATACAACTAGGTGTTATCTCTCTGGACTCACTTCTCAGTTCCTGTTGGCCCAGCAGCGAGGCGTGCTGCAGGAGACCCAGGAGGCGAGGAACTCTGTTGGTCACAGCGTGACGAAGGCGGCTCTTCTGCCACAGAGCCAATAAACCTCTTTCTCTCTGAGCCAGCAGATCCTCGGCATGCTGGGAAACATCAAGGAGCATGGCGCTAAACTCCTGGAGCAACTCGCTATCTCTGGACTGCAGAGAATGATGAGAGGAGAAGCAGTCATCACATTAAAACCCAAGTCAGAGCTTTATACTACGTTATGGGCTGAGCTTAAGGCACAGCATGCTCTTGTCGACATTAAGGCTCATTAAGTTAACTGGTTATTGTAGGTTCAGGAGCAGGGCCACGCCTCAACTTCAACCACACCTCTAATCAACTGTCTACATACACCAGGCCAACCCATCACAATCTGACTGTCTCAGATTCTTAGACCCATACTTTCCCTTCTCTATAGAAAAAGAAAATCGAAAAGAACAAAAGAAACAAAGGAAAATAGCCCTACCCTCACCCCCTTCCTCCTCTCCCCGTACCCCTTCATCCTCCCTCCCTCATCCATTTTTTCTGTCTTCCCTCATAAATTCATACTATCTTCCCCCATCCCAACCCTAATCCCTTCTTCCTCTCTTCCCTCATCCCTTCATCATCCTTCCCACACCCCACTCTGGGTCTCCCTCCACCCGGTCACCGGTGCATCCTCCCAGACCAGCCTATGAGACGCATCTTCACCTCGACCCTTTCACTCCACATTCATTCATTTCTCCTCAACATCCAATATATCAATTTGTTTTATAGTTGGGCCGCGGTCCTTGCTCGTGAACTAGTTTTGTTGTGTTGACCTGTCGTCTGAATTCAGTGAGGAGATGCTGTAACGTCTTGATTCTCTCTGACAGTTTATTCCACATCTGAGAGCTCAAATAGTGAATCCGTGTCTGTTGAGAAAACAAAAACATACAGAATTTGAATATTTTATGTTGTATTGATATCAAAATTATGCCACTTTTTTATAATGTGATACCTCCACTGCAGTTAGACTCGCCAAACAGCCACTTGCTCTCAGCATCAGCTTCTGATTGGTTGTTCCCACAGACACACGACCCAGGGTTTCAGATTTACTGCTGCCGTCTCTTTTCTGTACATCCACCATCAAACTGTGATTTGTTCCCACACATGCCATCACAGTGACATCCTCACAGAGGTCCTGACCTGGACATGGAGCAAGTGAATTAATCATTATCACAGTATTCTGCTGAAATTTTACAGAGATTATTCTGTATTTACCATTCGTGTGTCCAGCTGTGGTCTGAAGGCATCGTCCCTCTGCCGTCCCATTCAGCCAGATCCTCTCAGCGCCGTCCAGTCTGGCGTGCACCTCGAGACTGGAGCCATTAGGCCATGACAGGGCACTACCCCCCACTTCCACACTCCAGTTACCTATTTTAGACTGTGATGCACACATGCACACATTTGTATATTTGTACACTTATTAAGACCCTCACTGATAAAACATCCCAACAAGAAAACAAACAAAATGCCATTATGTTCCTTTCAACTATCACAACATGCATAACTCAAATTCTAATTCTATGTGATAAGACAGGACAGAGGATATGATGCATTTAACGGTGGCCAAAATGAAACGCCTCGAAAATGAAAACTGGGGATTTCTCGGGGTTTGAAATGTTGGAAACATTTTGGATATTGCAAGTACAAAAGTCAACAAGATATAAAACATAGGTATATACGTTCTTATTTTATATTTTTAAACCCAACTCCCTTTAAAACCGTAACACATTATCACAATGTAGCGAATAGATTATACCCAATAAAAGAAAAGAAACATAACACGCCTTGTTTTACTAAGTTTATGGAGACACGTTATTGTTGATTATTCACCAGCAGGTTGTTCTGGTTGTTTACCTCAGAGTAAAAAGACGTGTTGGTGCCCTGAGTGGTGGACGAGTTGATGAGGGTGAGAGTGAGGCTGCACTGGTGGGGGCGTCCCATCACCGAGAGGCGAGACTGTGTGTAAAACAGCTCCTCTCCTGAGTTCACTCTGTGGGATCCTGACCACAAAAGAGTCTGACACACACACACACACACACACACACACGTTATATTTATTGAATTCAGCCTGGAGATTCTCCCTGCATGCCTTGATTGTGCTACAGGTCTGTGACAAGACAAAAAGATGAAAAGACCATGACTCATTCTTTAACTAGAAGCTATTTGTCGTCCATCACTGTGTGGACTCACAGGTTGTGAGGGGCAGAGGCTCAGCAGCACTGTGTGCTCCAACCGATCTCTGAGGTTGGTTTGGACTTTGGCCAGCAGCGTGTGTGAAGGACATGGTGCAGGAGAAACTTTCTCCAACCCCACATTGACCTGAAGGCTGTGCTCTCCCCGTGAACCCTTCTACAAACAACACAAACAGGCTTTTAAATACAAAACACCAGACATGCACTGACAGACAGCGTCACTACCTTCCATAGTTACTGCAGTATGATGAGAGGAGTACCTGGTACTTCATGCCTTGTTTGATGCTCCTGTTGTCCCATCGCAGCTCTGCATTCTGTGAGTATGTGTTTCCTTCCTGACCCACTGACACACAACCTTTAACAGAAGACACCATCATCTGCACACACACCACACACACACACACACACACAAACTCAGAGTCATGGCTCCATTCAGAGGAATTTACATTGACTTAAATTGACTTCCTGCAGACTTACTCCTAAACCATAGTTACTACTTGACTAAACCTAACCAATACCCTAATCATAAAACATGTCTTCACCTTATAATTTAATGATTTACATAATGGGGACTTGATATTTTTCCCCATAAGAAAGACAAGTCCTCTA